GGGAGGGGGGAGGGGGAGGGGGAGGAGGAGGAGGAGGGCAGAGCTTCCCAGGCCGGAGCGCGCCCTCCTTGCAAGCTCTGGGCTCCTGTGTTTCAGGGCCGATTTGTTTGCTGAAGCCGAGCGGGCAGGAAGGCCCTGGGGCTGGTACCCACGAGCTCACTGAGGGCTTGCCCTTGAGACTTGGTGACAGGAAGTGTCTTTTGTGACCAGAACTCTCGGTGTGAGTGGCAGTGACTGAGTCCAGTCAGAGGGATCCTCTGCTCTGGATACAGGCAGCACGGAAGAGCGCAGCCTACCCCTCTCCCTGGGCATTGGGGAAAATCCCTCAGGGAGGTCCCATAAGTGGACTGGAGGATGGCGTGTCCTAGGGTGCGAGAACAACCTCCAAACCTGTGTGAGGCCTTAGCAGAACAGACCTCATTCTGAGCATCTCCTTCCTCCACTGCAGACAGCCCACTTGAGGACAGTGACCCCAAGGACTCATCCCTCGGACCAAGACACATCATGGCTGAGCCAGAGTACGTAGACGATGACAACCCTGAGCTGATTCGGCCCCAGAAACTGGTCAACCCTGTCAAGACATCCCGGAACCACCAGGATCTTCACAGGGAGCTCCTTATGAATCAGAAAAGGTACGGTGCTTTCTTGAGCGTAGTGTTCCTTTCGGGATTTTCAGGCTAGCCAGGATTAATTGCAGATGTGTTTATAATGCTTGGGTGTAGTTAAGGCTTCCTTCAGCCGGGGCCTCCCTCCAGCAGCTGCAGCTGTCATCAGCTGTTTCTCAGCGACCCCTGCGAAAGGGTAGAAGAGTGTCCTAGGCAGAAGAGGAGTACGTTATTTCCTAAATTCAGCACCTTTGAATTTCCTCATTATGTGTGGGGAAGTGTAGGACTCACAGGTAAGTCCTGTTTGTGCTCACGTGTAAGTGGCAGAGCAAAGTCACTAGAACCTTTTAGATGGAATGGATAATGCCTTTCCTTACATTTTTGTTCATTTGTTTTTAAAGTAGCAATTTAAATTAATATTATCGTCATCACGTTTATTAAATTTCTAGAGGGGAGTAAAACATCTCGCCTGTCTTCTTTGTGAGCCATTTGTTATCCCCTGTGCTGGGGATCCTTGGGGTGCTGGGCAGGTGACCTCTGCAGGTGAGTGGTGTTTGATGGCCGTGGGCCAGACAGCTTCGGGTGCTCGGTTACTCTTTGTTGAAGAACTAGTAGCTTTTATTTAGACGGTGCTAAGCCCTGGGGGAAAAGTCAGGACTTGCAGACCCAGGTCAGTGTCGGGGCAGTTCTTGGGAACCAAAGTTGTGACTGTGCAGAGCAGAGATCGGGTACCCAGAGAGAGCTTGTTTGTGCTGGCCTTATTCTCCCTCCCTTTCCTTTCCGTGCCCCTTTTCTAATTTGTGTTTTTGCCATGTTTATCTCTGTGGACTACCTTAAACCTCAGTTTATTTATACCCTATTGTGTGATCTTGAGAAGATTAAAATTTTTAAATTAAAGAAGAACGGTTGGGGCCATTTCATGGCAATTCTCCCTCCAGATCACACTCCTGCCTGCTGGGACTGATGCATCTAATGACTCATGGCCCAGGGATTCTCTGGAAATGTATCTCTCCCTCTGTTGTGGGACTGTACTTGTTCCCAGCACTAGGGTGATGTTAGGTTAACATTTATTAAATTGAACAAAAGTTTAATCATTTTAATGATTTAGCTTCTACCTGTCTTTGTTGCATAACAGCACAAGGAATATTTGGATTTGGTATTCTCATAGCCAAAGCAAAGCAGCGTGGTGTACTTTTTTGCATAGACTGCAGCAGTGGGAAGCAGTCCAGATTCAGGAAATTACGTCCGCATCAGTTTAGAAGACTGCGAAACAGAGGAGCGGCGGTGACTGACGGGTTTTCTGACTGTCTCCCCCGTGGCCCTCTGTTCTCTCACCTATAAAAGGAAGGTGGCACTTATTTGAACCCTAAGCAACATTTTAGCTCAAACTGCCCCACTCCTGTGACATCTATAAAAAGGCTCCAAGTCAAGGCTAAAACCAAACCAAATTGTTCAGAATATATGTTCTTTGAATTATAGGTTGCAGAATACTCTGCAAAAAGATGATTGATAGTGTGGATTATATCACTGGAGAACACACGAATTTGTGTGACTGAGTCTGCTCCCAAATTTTCTAGCAAACGGGCTGTCCTTTTCCCTGTCTGCCTTTCTACGTCCCGTTCTTTCTGTCCCTTATTTCCATGGTGAGCACTTCAGGCAGGCCCAACTCTTACCAGTCTGGGAGAACAGCAACTCCCCTAAAGGACCATGGTGTGGAAAGGACATGGACATGGCAGCGAGCCTATGGCACACGTGCTGTAGCAGGCACACAGAGTCCTCTGTCAGCACCTGAGCATCGGGGGGTCAGGTGTGCCTGCAGTATTGGCACTTGTGATAAATAAGTGGCTTAGGGTTGTAGTTTAGCACTCAGTCTCTAAAAGGTTTGCCATCACTGTGATAGGGCCTTGAGATTAGAGAAAGGGCATGACTCCTGGTTCATTTAACTTGACCTGCCTTCCGCTCTTGACTAAGGCACCCTTCTTCATTTATAAAGTGTGGGGAAAGCAAGTCATTCTTATAAAATTGCTAGCATGAATCAAAACACCTCCGAAATGGCCAGCATGTGAGTGATCTGTCAGGCCCACGGTCTTCTGCTTCCCATGTGCATCTTGGGGAAATTTCTGTTGCTTTTCCTCCTTTTCCTTGAAAGATTCTGGTCTGTCTGGAAGAACATTTTACAAAGGAAAGAAAAGACAGATTTCAAAGTCAAAAAGATGAATGTATCTCATTTTACATTGAAGACATTTTACATTGAAGGCAAAATCTTAGTTTGACAGAATCAGTGTTAGAAATCTTAACCGGTTTCAGGGTGAAACTTCTCAAGCAATTTCTTCTCTTTTCTTTGTCTTTATATCTCATACACTACACTTTATAGACACTGTCAGTTTTTTATTTCTAAACTTCAGTGCACAATAAATTAAGGAAGCACCACACAATAATATGCGTATTTGGTTCAGACATAACTAGTCTTGAGTACTGAGGTGTAAGGCAACAAAAGTCTTCTTTTCCCTACTGTTTATAAGGGGCCCTTGCATATTTTAGCTTACCCAGTGATCTTTCCAGTAACCCCGTGCATTTGTCTTGAGATTAAACACCGTTGAACTGTGAGGGAAAACTCAGGAACAGGTTGGGGAATTTTCTTGAGATCATGCAGCAATTTTTTGGAATGAAAAGAAATAGAAATAAACATAGGATGAAAGCAGTTTATGAAGGTAAATATAGTAGCTATACAAATTAGAAACCAGAGAGTGGAAATGGGAGAGGGAGAGGGAGAGCCCCACACCACATGCTTCCTTGGAGACTTGAACTTTGCTCTGCAGAGCTGCACATTTGGCTCAAGCTCTGCAGCAATTAGTTCAGTGTTTTTAAAGTTACTCTTTAGAGACCTTAAGATAAAAGCAAGCCCTGCTTAGAAGGGCAGATATGCACAGATCTAACTCTGATCCCACACTCTTTCAGGCATGTAATACTTGCTCCTCTGTTAGCCATTTTTGGGACCTGGCTGCATTTCAGGTTAAAAGTCTTTGGATGTCCGCTTGATTACAGTTAACCGCTAGGTCTGAGTGTTAAGGTTTTTTGATTCTCAAACTTCATATGCCTTTTCAGTGGCATAAAAAGACTGATCTCAAAAGGCATTTAGAAGCATTATTTTTTGGTAGTTGAAATCAGTACTGAAAAAGTGTTTAAGAAAATAGTATTTTCGAATATAACTTAGGGAGAGTCCTCAAAAAGGAGTTAAATTTTTTTTTATAAGTAAGCTGGTTGCTTAAACCCGTCCCTAAAATTTGTTCTTTGGCTTATACATTTCTCAGTCAGTGTTCTCTAGTTCCCTGTGTTTTCAGTTGACCTTTTGAAATGCCTTAGTGGACAAATACAGTGGATCCTCGAGTTATGACCAGCTTCATATATGAACAACTTGGCTTACGACTGGAATTTTAGTTTTAACTTATGACCAATGTCTTGAGTTACCACCTAAATGCCATCCACTTATGTGGTTATAAACAAAGACTTATGATGCCAGAAAAGCATATGGAGGTGTGCATAGCATCAATCTGAGCCCAGATCGTGTGTATGTGGACGTGATTTCCGTCAGTGCTTTATATAATTGCTACAATTACTACTATCAAAATGGCCCCCAAAGGGCCAGGGATTTAGCCCAGTGGTGCCGCCGCCTGCCTCGCAAGTGCAAGGTCCAGAGTTCGATCCCCGATACCAAAAAATAAAAGGCCCCCCCCAAAGACCTAGAAAAAAAGCTAAGGAAGGAAGAGAAGGTAAAGAAAACTATCACAATAAAAAAGAATAAGGAAATTATGGGAAATATGAGAGTGGTATTCATGTGACTATTCTCACTAATATGTACAGCATGTCCAAATCCACCATCTCGACAGTCTTACAGAGAAAAGATTTGCATAAGGAAGCTAGCATTGCTAAAGATGTTACTCAAATTAGTAAGTCATGATCAACAGTGTTCAATGAGGTAGGACAGCTGTATTAGTATGGATAAGTGAAAGGCAGACGGCAGTTATAGTCTGTCTGAGCCTGTAATTTGTGAAAAAGGCAGGGCTGTAAGTGCAGATCTCATAAAGGATAATCCATCAGCGAGTGGTAATGGTGAAACATTCCGTGCCAGTAAGGGGTGGTTTCACAATTTTAAAATGAGACCTGGGGTTCGTAGTGTAACTAGGCACAGTGAAGCAGCCAGTGCTGATAAAAGGGCTGCTGAAAGTTGCACACACCACTGCGAAACAATGACACAGAGAAGTGGCTTTTGTCTCATCAAGCTTTCAACTGTGATGAAACTGGCCTTTTCTGGAAGAAAATGCCCCGGAGAACATACATTGCCCAGGAAGAGAAGAAGATGCCAGGCCACAAGCCTATGAAGGATAGGCTAACCTTACTGCTGTGTGCCAATGTGAGTGATAAAGCCTCTCTTGGTTTATCACTCTGAGACACCCAGAGTGCTCAGAAAACATACTCATAAAGAATAGGCTAGGGCTCATGTGGAGATCTAACACAAAAGCTGTAGCAAGGGTACTTTTTCTTGAGTGGAGCAAGGAGGCTTTCTGTCCTACTGTTAAGAAATGTCAGGAGGACAAAGGTTTACCACTCAAGGCTCTCCTCATCATGGACAATACTTCTGCTCATCCACGAGATTTGGAAGAAGAATAGACTGAAGAACTCCCATGGCCCTCAGTCAAGTTGCTCCCACCTAATACAGCTCCTCTACTGCAGCCTATGGATCAGCAGGTTATAGCTAACTTTAAGAAGAAGCTATACACCAAGGCACTATCCTGAAGTGCTTCCAGATGGTCTCAGATACGGATTTAACCCTTCAAGAGTTCTGGAAGGAACATTACAACATCCTTTCCTGTGTGGGGTTAATTGAGAAATCCTGGGCCAATGTCTTTCTAAGGACACTGAGATCTGCCTGGAAGACAGTGTGGCCTAAAATTTTATAGGAGAAAGATTTTGAAGGCTGTGTAGAGGAGCCAGAGCCTTCAATTGACCCTGTGGTGGATGACACTGTCACTATAGCAAAGTCCATGGCTTGCAGGTAGATGGTGATGTTGAGGAGCTGGTGGAGGAACACTCAGAGGAATTGTCTACAGAGGAACTTCAGCAACTTCTGTCTGAGCAACAGAGATGGCAGATGAGGAGCTTTCTGAAGAGGAGGGGGAGTATCAGCAGCCAGTACAGCAAAGTTCTTCTGAAATAAAGGAAATCCTGAAAAAATGGACAGAGCCGCAGACATTTGTAGAGACGACCCAACCAGACAGAGGAAAAGCCAATTGTTGCATTCACTGGCTTGATGGCAGTGTCATATCGTACTAGAGAACAGTGTTAAGAAAGACAGAAACAGACGTTAGACCAGTTTTGAGTTCTGAAAAGGTTGGGACCTAGTGAACCAGAAGCAGGTCCGAGTGGGCTATAGACTGTCCCAAGGAGAGAAAGGACACAGCCAGATTCCTGATGTTCCTACGGAAGGGGACACTCCTTCCAAACATAAACACCTTCCATCTCCTCCTCCCTTCCTGCAAGCCAAAGGTGTCAGCTTGAACGGTGAGTACAGTACGAAATTGTTGGAGGTAAGCTAGGTACATTTTACAACGTTTTGGTGAATACACTAGGAAAATTCTTGGTGTTTAGGGTAAATTACTCATACCACCCTTTTTATTATAAAAATGTTAGTTAAGGGGTGCGTTGGGAGGTTCAGAATGCATTATGAGTATTTCTGTTCTTTCTTAGGAGAAAAATAGTCTTACAACCAACTTGAGTTACAAGCAGCCCTCACGAATGAATTGAGTTTGTAAGTCAAAGGTCCACTGTGGTTTCTCAATAAATACTTGCCACCAGACAACATGGAGAAAGGTGGGGGATTTGTAGTGATACTGGCTAGAAGGAAGTATTTGTGTTTGAATCTGGGCAGGTAAAAATGGCTCAGCCAGAAATGTAGGCTGTGAAGGCCAAAGCAGAAGACTCCAAGATGGAACACCAAGCCTGAAGCCCAGCTGCGTGCATCCTCTCAGCGCACCCCGTAATGTTAGGCAAGGGGAGGTGTGGCTGGGTTGGCAGGTGGGTGTGATGGTTTGAGCACCAGAGCCTCCTCTGGTGCTGCTCTCCCAGGTGAGGAGGCAGCTTCCTGTGTAGGGCTTAAGTGTGCACGGCGTCTGGGCAAGGCAGGAGGAATGTGGGCCGGCCTTTGCAGGGCCCTGCACGTGCTTGGTGGTTTCTGTATCATGTGGAACATTCCCTCCAAGCTTGCACATTTCGTGCAGTGGCGGCGGGGACTGAAATTGCTGCAGTCTTTCTGGAGGGCTTTTCGGCAGGACTCATCCAAGTACAAAGAGCACAGTTGCTTAGCTAGCAGTCTGGCTGCTGTGGATCTGGTGACAGAAACGCTGGTGCAAGAGCAAGTGCAAAGGCGTGCAGAGGTCCGCTGCCTCCTTGTGTTTAACAGTGAGCAGTTGGAAGCAACGGCCTCTCAGTGGGGAGAGGCAAAGTGACAGGATTTCTGCCCTGTGAGGTGTTTTGCAGATGTGGAGAAGAGGAGCTTGGGCCAGACTATTCATTATCTCGGGGTGCAGGCATGCAGCCTCTACCGGGGCCAGCATTGCATTCTCTGTGAGCGATGCTCCCACAGTGCATTTAATGGGGAGGCTGTTCATTTCCTATTGCACGAATATGGATGATGGCCTGATTTTACTTATATCACAGAGAGCATTTATTAATTCTGTAACGCTTAACATTGGCTTGTCCCACTGCAGTAGTCACAGGTAGCTCTGTGATCGTGCGGCAGACCTGGGAACTACTTGGTCTTGGGTAGTAGGAAGCCACTGAGACATGATCGCCTGTCAGGTACTTGTTAATCGATATATTAGAATCAATTAGAGAGATTCAGTCGCTCTCACACAGGGGATGAGCTTGTAGTTACTTGAGAAGTCTAGAGAAGCTGATTCCTGTCTGAGGACTCTCTCTTCAGTCCGACCCGCTGCAGACGCCAGAGGAGCGTCCTGCCCACGCTTAACTTCTGCAGTTCAGCATAGAAAATTAATTGATCTACTGATAAAATATTAATGTATATGATTTCTTGACTGTTACAAGTACAGAATATTTTTCATAGAAGCACCATTTTCCCGAGTTTTATGTTCTTAAATATTTTATCTTACTGTCGCTATTATGTGAAAGTTTTGAGCAGAAAATGAATACTGTGTAATAGTTAAGGCCGTTTATTCACTGCAGTGGAATATCAGCTTAATGTGTCATAAATCAAAAGTACATGGCTTTTGCGTAATCCAGGAGAATTGAATAGTAGTCGAAGTTAATTTTGCCAGTGAACTAGAGAAGGAAAAATGTTTGAAATTTAAATTATTCAAATAACTAAATTCTTATTTTAAAATTCAATTCCCTGAATTCTGCCTGTAGTGCCATATTGAGGGTTTTTAATACTCGTGAAACTGAGGTTTTTATTCACACTTGATCTTAGCCAAAAGGCCGAGAAGTGATTGAGGGCTTTATTCAGAGTATTTAAAAACAAATTTTCCTGTGATTGATGGCACTTTTAACTGGACAGCTCGAGTTCTTATGTGTAGCTTTTATTGTGCTGATTAAAGAGTTAATTTCTAGAACACCCTGTCCGTATTTTTGTACCTCTGTGCAGTCTTGATAACTGCAAAGCAAACCATCGTTAAATCGTAAAAGTCACCCACCTCCTTGTGTCACTGGAAACTTGGCCAAATTTTATTTTAACAAAAAATTCTGCTGTTGAATATCAGGAAAGTAAAGACATACCATTCTAACAGTGTACTTTTTGTCATCAGAGGTTGAATGTCCTAATCTCTACTTTGTAAACAACTTTGAAAACAATTTTAATCATGAGGGGGGTTTTGTTTGTTTGGTTGGTTTTTTGGATTTTTTTGGTACTGGTGATCGAACTCGGGACCTTGCACTTGCCAGGCAGGCAGCGGAACCCCTCAGCTGAGTCCCCGGCCCTTAATCATGGGTTGTAAAAACATGTAGGAAGAGGAGGCTCCAGGATCTTACGCATTTCTGCATTGCTGAGGAAGTGTGAGAGGGAGGATTAGTTTCCACATGGGATCACGTGAGCCTGCAAGGGGCCCAGAAAGGTGTTGCTGGCTCTCTCGTAAGCAGAGCACACATTGCGCAAATTGCTGTTTGGCTTAATAGTTGTTGAGCTGCCTCCCGAGCAGTGAGTCGTGTGCATCGATTGGCATCGTGCGGAGGACAGGAGCTGGTGCAGGTCTGCAGGCGCCCAGGCAAGGGGAGGTAGCTGCACCGAGGCACGCAGGTCACGTCCGGTCCAGGGTGCCCTTGGCCTCGGTGTGGACGCAGCCCCTGCTCACACCCCGTACTGCCCGGGGTCCACAGTGTGCTTTTCATTCTGGGCTTGTTTGGTTTTTATTTTAAATGCTTCTAATAAACTTTATCATCAAGTTGAAGTTCTTACGACTGGTGGAGTCTGGGCAGAGTTAATAGTTGGGGAAGACAGTAAGGGACAGGTGGGCAGGTTTGTCCAGCACCCAAAGAGCCTGGACTGGAGAAATCCTGAAGGAATGGCAAGGAGAGTGGAGGAAAAGGAGAGTCCAAGCTGACATTAGGCACAGACGGAAATGCTGAGAAGAAAGAGAAAAATGCTTGTGACTGCCTTGACTTGCTACCCACTCTGCAGAGGGCAGGCTGCTAGTGAAGGCCTGTTTCTGTTTCTGTTTTGTTCTCCCCACTGACGAAGTGGCGCCTGACTTCTCTCAGAACTGTAGACTTTTCCTGAAGCCTGACTTCCATGTGCTGTAAATGATAAACTGCATCCGAGGCGATTTAGGTGGAAAGCACCCTGGACGGGCAGTCAGGAGATGCGCGCCGGTGAGGCCATGTCCTTGGTTATAAGAACGCTCTTTCAGAGCAGAAGGACGAAGGGTGGGGTGAGGTTCCAGGGCCGTTTTGCTGACCGAATCTCCGTGCCAGCCTGTCTGCTGCGCTTACCGCCTGAGATTGGAGGCTCCATCTCGGGCTCCCTCCCCGTGGACTCCACGGGGGGACCTGCCCGTGCCCTGACCATCTCATCTCTGTGGTGGGCACCCTGCTCCCCACCTGCCCACCCCACGCAGTCCCTGCTGCCCCACCCACTTTGTGCAGCCTGCTGCCTCTCACACAGTAATGCTCCGTACCTTTTTATTGAATGAATGGATTTTACCAACTCTTTGGAAGATGCGCTTCCGTTTCTTCTGTGTTGCTGAATTTTCAAGCGTTGCCTGTCAACTGGTTAGCTTAGTACTTGGTGTCACAACTGTGCTAATTCCGTAGATCTCTTTTCTGTGGCTGATCCCTTCCGTTATATTTATATTCATGAAAGATGCATCAATTTAGTCATTTTTTATTTTTCTTAATTCTCTTTTTGTAGGGGTCTTGCTCCTCAGAATAAACCAGAATTGCAAAAAGTGATGGAAAAGAGAAAATGGGACCAAGTAATAAAGCAAAAGGAAGAGGAAGCACAAAAGAAGAAATCTGACTTGGAAATTGAACTACTGAAGCGGCAGCAGAAGTTGGAGCAGGTAGGTGTGATGGGCAAAGCAGTCTCTAGTCCTGAGAGCGAGATGCTGTAGTGAACAGGACTTCCTCGGCATGGCAGATGTAAGGGTTGTACTCAGAAAGAAGAATAAGAAGCCAGGTGGAAGCACATGGCATGATTACATTCAACCAGGCAAGAATGCTTTTGATCACCTGAAAGAAATGCTGGAGGCAAAAGCAAAATCAGAAGGAGATCACTGAATTCATGGAGTGTTGGAGTAATTTAATAGAGCTCAGCTTCACTAAGACTCCAGAGCAACTGTGTGTTAGTCTTAGGATTTTATTTTCCTAGCCTTGACTTTGCCATTCTTGTCTTCTCTTGGTAGTGCTTGTAGTAACAACCAGTTGGTTCCTGGTTCTATGCAGAATTACCTCTAGACATGGCGTGCGCGCACACACACACACACACGCACGCACGCACGTGCGCTTTCATACACATACATGATAAATGAGTTTCATTTCTTTTCTTTTGAAGTAGGGGATGAAGAAAGAATTTTCCATTGGAAAGAGGGAAGTACTTTGATAAACTTCTCACATCATAAGTAATTTTCCTGTTTTTAAATTCCTTGCAGCTTGAACTTGAGAAGCAGAGATTGCAAGAAGAGCAAGAAAGTGCACCGGAGTTCGTGAAAGTGAAAGGCAACCTCAGGAGAACAGGTCAGGAGGCAGCCCAAGCCCAGGAGCCCTAGGCCAGGGCTGCCCGAGGCCGGCGCTGTCCTGTGGGAGCTGTCTGGGCGTTCCGCGGCGCTGGTCCCAGGGACGGAGCCCGGAAGAGAATTCCAGCCAGCACAGACGCTTGCCTAGAGAAGGGACTTGGTTTGGTTTTCCTGCAGTCTGGGTGAATAAATTGTCTGTGACTGTTGCAGTTCCCATTCGCCAAATGAAGGACATTGACTAGCACTTCGGTTGGAGTCATGGACCTGGATTCGGAGATTTAAGCAGGAGAAAACAGCGGAACAAGCAGGAGAAGGGAAGGGGACACTGGAGTACATTCTTGAGAGTTGCACTACGCAGTTTTTCTTCCAGTCCGAATTTCTTAGCGCGCGGAGTCTTTTTCTTAGAAAAGATGTTTGATTCTCGTGGTTATCTGTTAGATGATTTAGATTGCATAGAAATGCATTTAATCTGTTACGTACAATATTGGGAAATTTTATTTTGAGAGTCCAGATTTTTCTTGCTGAGTTCATACTTCCTCCCACGTTAGAATTGGCAGCAGGGAACGTTAACGCTGAGGTTGAGCACAGCTGTTACCTTGCTGGCACTGAGCTCCAGAAATCGGAAGGCAGGTTTAGGGGGTGTGAGCCCGGCGTGGGTCCGTCAGTCGGCCCGCCCGCCCGTCCGTCCGTCTGGCTTCTCTGTGGGGTGGTGTGAGGCGTGAGTTTGGTGGGCTTTGCCCCACACCCAGGAAGGCGCTGTGCGCTTTGACAGCCGGTGGGCATCTCTGCAGCTCCCTCCAAGACTGCTGAGCTGTCCTTCCCGATGAAAGGATCCCGCGGTCCTTTGGGCAGTAGACAGTCTGCAGTTTCGGAAGTAGAGGGCCCAGAGGCTTTTCCCCTCTCCGGGGAGCAGTGCAGGGGCACTTTCATGGGAGCTTTAGGGCAAGATCTTGCAGTGTTTGAGCATTTTGATATCATTAGAATCCAAGCTTTGCTAGTTTCTGGTCAGTGCTCACATATTTCTTTACTATTTTTCCCTGTGCAGAAAGACTAATGCCCCTCCCTCGGCCCCGTGCTGTTGAGAGAGGCGAGGCTGGTGCCTCCTGTATTATTGCATCCCTCAGGAAAGCCAAGGAGCAGTGCGGGCCGGCCCGCCTTCTTCACACGCGCTAACGTGCTCCTCAGAGAGGCATCCAAGCTACGAGGGCGCCCAGTTCTCAGGCGAATGTCATTTTATACTGCCGGTGTAATGTTGGTGATTTAGTGTGTTCTTCACAGAGGCATCTCGGCCAGTAACTTTCACATTGAAGACTCTGCTTATGCTCCCTCTCGTGACGCTAGAGAGCTGGACCAGGGCTTTGGAGCCCTTCGTTAGCACAGTAGACATTAGCTTTCTGTGCGAGTGTTTAGTTTTAGCAGTTGGCAGGCCCGTATTCAGCCCTAATATGAACACCCTAAGAGTAAGTGGAGGCTGGTACACAGCTAGAGAAATGTGTTAGTTGATTACATCTGAAATGGATTATTTGTCTCATGAGCAAGTATTATTTGAACAAAATACAAGATGCTTAAGATAAAACAGTGCTCTATAGTAGTTTGCTTTCAAAGATTGGAGTGGTAGCTCTCTCTTTCACCATTCCTTTGAGAGAAGAAAATGCAGTAACTGATGATCTTGAAAGAACATGTCTGATTGCGTGTTCATTCAGAGCTCCTTTGTGTATGTGGACTGATGGTGTGGTTAGTAAAGTAGAAATTTGGCTGGGCTCAAATCATCTTATCTAACTAGATGTGGATCTGTGTCCTTGGAGTAATTCTGCCACTTGACCAAATTCTCAAGGGCCCAACCAGGCTCCCTGACAAGGATGAATTCTGCTCCTAGATCTTCTGTAGACTTCATTCATCGCCAAGAAAAAGTTAATTCAAAAAAGCATTCTCTCCTGATCACAGACAAATCTGCAGAGTTATCTGCGGTTACTGCTACAAGCCAGCCAGAAGATGACTTGTGAACAGCATGAGATGGGGCTGTCCTAACCAGCAGAGGTGCGGGCATTGAGGCTCTTGAGGTCTGATTGGCTGGGTCACCGGCTGGAGCTCAGAAGGGAGCAGCCTCCTCAACGCTGTTCTGTCCAGACCTGTGGACTCGGGAACATCTGCGCAGTCCTGTGCTTTGAGCCACTTTGGGGGACAAAAGTGGCTCCATTTTTCCACTCTGTGGTTTTCTTAAAATAGTTGAGTGTTTTATAGTCTGATAGTAAAGTAGTGTTGCTTTATAAGCTATAACAGTTGACTTTATTCTTCTACTCTGGAAAATCTTGCCTTGTCTGAGTGTATATAATATATATAAAGGGAGCCTTAATGGATTTGTTTTCATAATTTAATATTTTTTGTATTTGCTCTTGTATAATTGTTTTTAATGGAAAGTATTACAGAATTGAGAGTGGAATTCTTAGAACCAAAGTTATTCTTAATAAAAATCACCACATGCTTGGACCATGCAGCGATGTTTGTCTGATCTGTTTAGGGTGCGTGATGGGGGTGTAGCCCTGAGACCAGGGGGGCTCTGGGATGCTCTTGGATGGGTGCCCTTTGACGGCCCTCCCCCGATCGGTTATGTCCTGCTGTCCCCTGGCATCTGTGGGGCCGACATCGCACACGTCAGATGACCCATGCCAAGATGTCGCTGGTGCTGTGCACTACGCTGAGCTTAGGGCATGTTGGTGCCTAAGTCAGGCACTGTCGTCCCGAGGGCCACAGCCTCGGGAATCCTAGGTAGTAGCTTGTAGGACATGAGCGAGATCTTTTAAATTAATGTTACCTTCAGAGGAGTTACTCTGGGAAGCTATGCACAGTTGCATTCTACTATTGGTTAAAATAATTGGATTCAGTAATTGGAGATTCAAGTCTCTTGACTTGATAATTACGTCTTTTTAAAAAGTCTACCCTGGAGTGTGAAAATTTGCTGTCTCGTAGATTATTCCATGAGCCCTACAATCCATACAGAAGATGGGTTCCAGAAATGATTTGAGCAGTAGCTACACCCTTGGAATAGCCTTTCCCAAGGTGACGGTTTGGGGAGATCAGGCCATTTAACTGGACGTGTGTCTATGTGTTTTACAGCAGAAATGTATTTGAAGGAAGACAGAGAAATTAAAGTGGTAAGCTTTAAAATGCTCCAGTTGGAAGAAATATTAATACTATCAGGCTACTGTTATAATAAGAGATTTTGAAGTATTTCATTTCCAAGGAAGTTGGTTAAATGAAGTCTTTATGAACTCGCCTCACAATCACCGTTTCTACCTTGTGTTTTCCTCACAAGAACAGGTAGTCTGGCTGACACCTGGGAATGTTTTGAATATCTCCGCATTACTCCTAGATTTTCTAGCAAGATGGTTATTCCAAACCAGAGTCAGACATGTATTGAATATGTGCTCACTGCTACTGGTGTTGCTGCACTCCGCCCCTTCAAGATACAACCGCATGTGTTTGTGTGTGTGTGTGTGTGTGTGTGTACATGTTCATGCACACACTTGTGTTGATACTTTTATATCTATGCTTACTGAATATCATGAGTTCATATCCCTACCCCTAGTAGTGTATCTTTCCTGTTCTCCCTCATTCCATATCTGTGGCTCTCTTTGCAGCAGTAAAAACCTGCCTGTCACCCTCCTTTGAGCCTGTTTCTTCCTGCATCCTCCTGAGTAGGGCCAGTCCTCTGACCTTTCTCAGGCACTTTCCTCATTCAGGCCCTACCCAGTGATTTTTCTTTGAGCATTTAAACATGTATTATAAATTTAAGTGAATTGCCTCAAACAACCTAACCTACAGACTAGGTGTGATTGATTGTTTGGAACCTTTCAAAGTCCTTAAGCAGTATACAAGCTGTACTTGAATATAATGATTAGCACATTTTAAAAGTAACTTCTATGAATCTATTTTTAAAACCAAGTCTTAATATCCATTATTTTTATATTTAAAAAGTTACTTTCCTATAACTGTGGCCCTTTTTATTTTCATACCTGTTATGGTTTAGATATGAAGCATCCCCAAAGACTTGTATGGAAGATTCAGCTCCCCCAGTGGAGCAGTGTTTAGGAGTGGGGCCTAGAGAGGTGATTGTATCACAAGGGCACTGACCTCATCAATGGATGACTTCATCAGCAGAATGGGCTGTTCTGAGGTGGGGCCCAGTTGGAGGAGGTGGGTCACCATGGGTGTACCTTTGGAGGGAGTCTGTCTGTGTGTGTGTCTCTCTCTCTCTCTCTCTGGCTCCTTCCCTGCCTGGCTGCCATGAGGTGAGCAACTCTATCATGCCCTGCCATCAAGATGTTTCTGCCCTGCAGAGTCCTAAAAGCAAAGAAAGAAACTGACCATAGACTGAACCTTCAGAAACCGTAAGCCAGAATACATCTTTCCTCCTTCAGTTATGTATGTCAGGTATTTTGTGTCAGCAACAAAAAGCCAAAAATAAAATATCCTCCTAAGGATTTATTTATACTTTATTCCCTGGGCTTGTACAACTCTAATGAAGCCTAATGGAAAGGAAATACTCCCTTAGAGTAACTGAAGGAGGCAGATCTGGGTTCTGATTCTTAATAGATTTGGTCAGGCTGAGTGGTCCAGGTTTTTTCAGTCATGAGTCACAGGCCTTGGACCAAGTCCTTTTTAATAATTAATCCATGGGGCTGGGGATTTAGCTCAGTGGTGCTGCCACCTGGCTTGCAAGCACAAGGTCCCAAGTTCAATCACCGGTACCAAAAATTAAAAAAAAAAAAATTAATCCTTACTTGCTTTATCATGGGATTTTTTTTTTTTTTTGGTACCGGGGATTGAACTCAGGACCTTGTGCTTGCAAGGCAGGCAGTGGCACCACTGAGCTAAATCCCAGCCCTATTGTGGGATTTTTTTTGTTTGTTTGTTTTTTGTTTTTGGTACCGGGGATCGAACTCGGGTCCTTGTGCTTGCACAGCAGGCAGTGAAACCGCTGAGCTAAATCCCTGGCCCAATAGGCTTTTTTTTTTTTGGTACTGGGGATCGAACTCAGGACCTTGTGCTTGCAAGGCAGGTGTGGTGCCACTGAGCTAAATCCCCGGCCTCCCCTATTGTGGGATTTTTTTAAACACCTCACAGTATATTTTATTTTCTTGAAACTTGGTGTCCTACCCAGAAATGGTATAAACTTTCATTTTGCATGGCCAGCATTACCTACATACTCTTCTGCCTTTTGTGATGTATTGATCTTACTCATTACCATTATTGAAAACTATGCTTTATCAGTATCTCAGACTACAATATATTACATATATAGCAATAAATGAATAATACTTACGTTACATAAAGAATGTCTATAAATGTCAGTGCAACAGAAAGTGAACAAAGTATGGAAATGCAGAGAAGATAAAATACAGATACCCATTGGCATTGCAGGGATGCAGGCAGAGTCATTTTGAGATTTCATCTTAAGAGTCATTGATTCCATGTGGCGAATTTCCTTTGGGATATTTCGCTGTTATCTTGGACATACTGTTGGATTTCCTCTAATTTTTCTTGTATGGAGTACACTGGACTCTTTTTCTACTTGGTTGCTCTATGTGACCACTGATGGTCATCAGTATTCTTCTAGTACTATATTTTTCTAGTTTTATGCTTGTCTATATTTTTTCTTCCCTGTATGCATAGCCATTTCTTTATAATATAATTCTTACCATAATTTTCTTTTCCTTATTAGGTATTCAGAAAAACACAGCTTGCCCAATGGAAGCCCTAATTTAAGCTCTCTCCACTGTTTCATCCATTTTATGCAGTGCTGGGGATGGAACACAGGACCTTCACCCTGAGCCACTGTTAAATGCTTTTGAGACAGGGTCTCACTGAGTTGCCCAGACTGGGTTCGAACTTGTGGTCCTGTTGCCTCTGCTTCCCAGAGTGCTGGGGTCACAGATGTGGGCCATGGTGCCCAGCTTGTTGTTCTTTGTAAAATACTTCTCCTGAAAGTTATGATGGCATCCTGCTTTGTTACAGCAGTAGGGTTTTGAACCATCCTGATTTTTTCTCTGACACATGACAGAACACTGCACCCATTGAAGGAGTCCTGCTGCTTTTTGAGGAAAATAAAAATAGAAACCAAAATCTGGCACAAGGTCATTAGTAGGACAAATTCAAGGACATGAAATCAACCTGCTTTTCCTGTTTTAAGCCATCATGTGTTTTTTACCCTATTTTTCTTACAATATCAAGTCTTAATGAACCAGAAAATGTTAACTTAGAAAGATCAGGTGAGATACTTACTTTGAAAGTAAAAATTATGCAAGGGGACCTGTCTACCCAGATGCTGAACACTGCACACACATGGCGGTAATTTAACTGGCCCTATTCCAGCTCAGAGAGACAGGCTGGTGGAACAGAATGCAAGGGCCAGGAGCAGTCTGATCACACGTGAAAATATACCATGACTGAGGTAGGTTTTCCTTTTCAGAGACGTTAGGGAAGGATAAAGAATTCAGTGAAAAAATTTAGGGGCAAGTGGAGCCAAACACAGATGCACTTCTGTACTCAATGCCATATTGAAGAGTAATGCCCAACATAAAAACACTGTAGATATATTCAAAGAAAATATAAAGGAATATTTTTTTATAATCCTAGGAGTCGGGCTGGGAGGCCTTTCATAAACAAGACATTGAACCCAGTTTTGTAATGAAAACGGAGCCTGGCATGGCTTGCATGCCTGTGACCCCAGCTCCCCAGGTGCTGGGCAGGGAGGTCACAGGGGAGCCCGGCCTGGGCGGCTTAGCAGCCTAGCAAGACCCTGTCTCAGAATTTCAAAAAGGGCTGGGGATATAGCTCAGTGCGAAAGCCCTGGGTGCAATCCCCAGTACTAAAGCACAAGACAAAAACCTGATGAATTTAGTGAAAATTAAATGTACAAAAAAAGATATAAAAAAGGTTAAAAGACAAGTAACAGACTGATATATTCCGTATGTAGCAGTAAATGAATAATACCTAAATCACCTACAGAATGTCTGCAAGTGTCAATGCAGTAACAATGCACAGAATATATGCAGAGGAAGTGTGTAGAAGATGGAAAACAGTGGCCCATCGCATGTGAAGAGTGTTAGACCCAGCGAGAGAGAACCAACCAGAGGCTGATATTAAATCCACACAGGAGTTTATTACCAGCCGGGACCTGAGCCGAGCATCAGACTGGAGCCCCGACTGGGGGGAGACAAACATGTTTTATACACCTTTGAGGCCAACAGCTTCTAGGCCCCCCCTATGGGATAGAAGTAGTAAAGCAAGCGAAAGGTACAGAAGCGGAACGTCCTGCCCTTAGAACATTTATAAAATAATAGTTGATTAATTGTTGTTTCTAAAGAGACTCTCTAAGGGCAGGAGGTTTCTAAGCTTCCTCCTTCTGAGTTCATCTAAAGGGCAGGCAGGTGGGTCCAGCAGCAATATGGAGTCTGTCTTGTTAACTAGGGTCCTTCAAAGAGGGTCAGACATTTTTGCACTGGTATTCCCAGAGCAAAACCACACTTTTGATACTCTCTTGTTGGTAAGGATGTGCAGACAGGTGCGTGTGCGTGTGCATTTGCTCAGGGACAGTGCACATCCCTTCGTGCCCACTCAAATGGATATAATGCAGAGGACAGACAGTACTGAGTGTTGATGAGAATTTGGAGAAATCGAATCCCTCGTTGTTACATTGCTTATGAAAACAGAAGACGGTGCAGCTACTCTGGAAAAGATTGGCAGTTTCTTAAAAAGTTAAACATAGGCTTATCACATGGCTCAGTGGCTTTCCTAAGTATGTACCCAAGTATGCACTGCAGGCCAGACTCGGCGTTCATAGGCAAACCCCGGACAGCTGATGGCCAAGCTTGGTTTGGTGAGGGAAATTCACTGTGCACACTCACGAGCCGAGGGGAGTTTCCGGCTGCCGTGCAAAGGCTCAGCTTCATGGACTGGTGCTCTGTTGCCTGGAGGGGCTGGCTCTGTGCTTGCTGCTCCTTCCCCTTTCCCTCCTTGGTGATTTTATTGTTGCTCAAAGATAGGCAACCTGAGCGATGAACTACAAGTATAACCACGAATGTCTCACTAGGAGCTGGTCCCAGCCTTGAGGTGTTTATAATCTTGTTCAGAGATAAAACATTGCAAAAGACCTAAGAAATAATGGGCACTAAATTAAATGCCACATGAACACCTAGAGGGTAGTAACCATAGGAGTGAACTGGGAAAAGAAAACATCCCAATCAAATGGCTTTATTGCAAGAGAGGTGCGTACACTAAGTTCCCAAGGGAAGCAGTGGCAAGGAACAGCTCAGATATCTTAATTAAATGTGCATTTTGTTTCTCCCTGATCTTCCTGCCTGTTTCCCCAGCTACTTTTCAGAAGTGGAGGCTGGATGGTTTGAAAACACAGGTTCTTGTGTGGAGCAGTATTGGAGGATCAGACAGCAGGGAGGAGGGAGACAGCAAATAAGTCTGGAGCCCCTGTGGTGCGCATGGTGCTAGGCAGCACCTGTCTGCTTTCAGGAGCTTCCTGCCTGGTGGAGGTTAGGCCTCCGTGAGTTTGGATTTGCTTCCTGGCAGGGAACTGAAGTCTGTGTCAACAGCGGCCGAGGGCAGGCTGTGTTGAGCACCTGTCTTGGGCACACTGGAGGGGGCAGGTGCTCGGTCCTGGAGGGTCCCGAGGCTGGTGTTCTCATGTCCAGGCTGCTCCATTTGGTTGCAGTGCTCAGTGCTGGGGTACAGTGCTGAGCAAAGTCATACTCGGTCTTTCTCTGGAGCTTAAAATCACGTGAGGAAGCAAACGGCATTTGAAGATTACACAAATGTACGTAAAATGACAGCTGTGGGAGAGGAACAGAGGGAGGGCACAGTGGGATCAAAATGGACACCTGTGCCACCCCCTCTGTCACCAGCCCCTGCGCAGCCTCCCTGTACCGTTCGGGATCTGAGCCCCTCCCTGTGGTCTGCAGCTCCTGAAAGGTGGTAACTGAGCCCAGCCACGCGTGCACTGCCCCTCTTCGCCCGAGGAGTCCAGTCTGGGCCGGGAATCTGGGAGTCGTGGTCCACCCCGCCACCCCCGGTTCAGCCAGGCACCCCCTTCTGCCCACTTCGCCGCCTGAGTAGCTGCTGAACTTCTGGCCCCTGCTCCCCCAACTCCTGCTGCAGAGCTGCAGCCTCCCTCTCACTTTTGTACCCCCAAAGAATTCAGATTCACACTCCCCAAAGAAGTCAGGGATCTTTGGCAAAGGGGGGTCTGACCGTGACTTCCCTTTGCTTGAAGTCTCCACAGACCGGGGTGAGGATAGAGAGCCTTAGCGTGGCCCCAGCCTTGAGCACTTGGAGCCCTGCCTCTGGCTCCAGCCCCTCTGGTGCTCCTGGCTCCAGACTCCCCTGCCTGCTTCAGGCCTGGGCCCCTTGACAGGGCAACTGCCTCGCCTCAGAAGCTCTTTCCCTCGGTGCTTAGTCCAGCCTTAGGAAGCCTCCCTGTCTGTGCCAGGTCAAATCACTCTTACGACAGCTTTTTTTCTTTTTTTACAGCACCAGGTAGATGGATCATCATATAATTAACATCACATATAGGCCGTATAATGTCGGGTCTGCTGTCTGTCTTGCTCCTTGCAGTATTCTCAATTCAGGGCCCAGCACAGAGGAGAAACTCAGCAAGCATTTGTGGAGCCAATCAGTGGATTTTCTGGAGCCCTGATAGTAAGCATCCAGCAGAACCAGGCCTCAAACTCAGTTCGCCTGCTATCAGAGCTCGTGCTGAGTCTGTATTCCACTGTGTCCCCGGCCCACTGCTGCGACTGTCTTCAGCACACTGGGGCCTTGACGCATGCACACGGAGCCTGTGTCTCCATAACTGCTGCCCCAAACCCGCTGTCACGTGCTGCTACTTGGCTGAGGCAGGAAAAGCACTAGTGATAAAAATCAAGAGGCCCAGGAAAGTTATTCTTAGCCAAAAAAAAGATTAAAAAGAGTGGAATGTCGTACCTGATAGCAGCTGGCTGACTTTTCACTTATTTGAAGTGAAAAGAACAGAACCCAATTGTGAAGCAGCTCCAGAAACATTCAGCCAGAACGGGACCTCATCATCAAGGGAGACCTCGGGAGTGAGAAGGGACTGGTGGTGGACGCGAGCCCTAGGCTGGGTGAGGAAGATGCACACGTGAGCCCCTGGTGAGGGAGCGTTGGCTCTGCCCATGTTCCGTCCAGGAGCATGGCCCAGCACCTGTTGGATGTGCAGAATCTGTGATCCGTGAGGGGACTTGGGATCCCGTGTGTGTATTTCCGTACACACAGATACTGTGTCTTCGCCTGCAGAGTCCGCCATGGGCCGGGGAGCTCTGCCCTCTGCTTGGCCTGACGCTCTAGCCGGCAGTGTCGCTCTGGGCACTGCCAGCGTGGGCAGCTGAGAAGAGGGCAGGGCTGAGCACTGGCCTGACTCGAGCCATCCTCAGCGATGTCACAGGCAGCCTGCCTGAAAGAGGCAGGGAAGTCTCAGGGTCTCAACCCCCTGCCCCTGAAATAAACCCAGCCTTGGTCAGTGCCCATCATGCCAATCACGGCAGGGGCAGATGTTCAGATGCAGAAGCATCTGGAACGCATGATTCTCAAAATCATCCTTTCTCCAACATTTTTATGATATCACTTGTAACAGGATTTTCTTAAACACGTAGATTTCTGTGTATTTCTGTGCAAAGATTGTTCATAAGTCAAAGTTCAGCGACTTTTTCAAAAATTCTTTAAGGCAGTTTGGATAGTGTAAATGATGTGAGGGCGTTCATGGGAATTTCTCTGTGAGCCAGGAAGCTTTCGAGCCCCTCTGCTGGCCTGATGCCTGCAGCTCTGCTCCCTTGGGCCCACCAGTCCCAGGCTGAAAATGCCTGGACCTGCTGTAGTCATGAGGTGCTGCAAACGTACTAATGGAAATTTTAAAAGTATAAACAAGAAAATGAAGAGCACCTCAAATTCCACGACTCAAAAATACCCACCAGTAACATTTTATGCATTTTAGCTTTACTGAGATCATAGCTTTTATAGTTTTTTTTCTGCTGAGGGTTGTATCATAAACACTTATTAAGCCTTAAAGATCCTTCTTAAGATCACTTTTAATAATGCTGTTCATACAAGATCCATAATTCACATCTTTTATTGTTGCATAGTTAGATTGTTTTTAAAATGTCTTGATTACATGTTCTTTTAAAAGAATGGCTTTCCACGTGACAATCAAAGAAAATGCCTGGGGAAATTGTATCTGTACTGAACACATGAGGACATTTTTCTTGTCATTAGTCCCTAAAAAGACACCAGAGCAACTGTTTACATAGCATGTATACTGTATTAGGTATTACAGGAAATTTAAACATGACAACATATACGGGAGGCTGTATGTAGGTTATGTGCAAATACAGAACACGCACAGATTCGCGTATCTGGGGACCATAAGGCCAGTCCTCCGTGAGTATCAGGGCAGTGTGCTTTCTCTTTCTACCCAGAGTCAAGGCTTGGCAATCTCTGCCCCTCCCAGCTCCTTCCTTCTCTGATTTTGTTTAACCACAGCCTGGGAAATGGTCGGGTGGTCTGGTTGGGGAGGTCTCAGGGCCTTGGGTTCTGGGGTCTGCAGCTTCTCGGGAGGCAGCAGCATCGTCTTTTCCCAGAGGATGATCTACAGGGCACCTTATTTGCCAAGTGGCTTCAACAAAAATGCAGACCATGATCAATAAGTTTATTTCCCATAACAGTGGAAGGAGAGGAACTCGAGCTTTTGAAGGAAGTTTATCGTCGACATTCTGCAGCATTTCATCTTGCTTTTCTTCAGACTGTGTGGCTTGCAGAAATCAATTTTCATGAAAGTATTTTTTCAAAGCAGGCTGCAGGGGGTTTAATGGTGGGAAGTGAGAACCGAGAGGAAAGACAGCTCTACACCGTGTGGCGTTTGACCTGCATTCTCTTGTCAAAAGCTGTTTTTACTTGGACAAATAGGAGAGCAAAGCAGTTGTGCGGGTGTGACCTGCACCTCCGCTGCTGAGCTCCCTGGTTCACGAACGGCCCTGATCAACGGGCCGACCCCGTGCACTTGGCAGCTGAGTTTGTATTCCTGAGCTTTGCCTGCAGTTTTATTCTTGTGGAGCGACACTTCCCTGACAGAGGGTGGACATCCACTCTGGGGAACTGACTTCCTGCTGAAGAGGAAGTGGGGGTGGGGAGTGGCACTGTCCACAGTGAAAAAATACCTCGGTTTGAATTATTTCAGCAAACCCAGAGCAGTTCAAAGTAGGCATAGCAAACAGTCAACGCACGCATAGCCACTAAAGTCAAATACACAGATGCGCTCATCACTCAGCTAGCCACCACTGCGTGCTGCGCAGAGCAGAGCGCTCCGTGCTGCTGGCCCCTCAGCTCCGTTAGGGCGAGGCCCGGGGGAGGGTGAAGCCTCGCACTAAGGCCGGAATCCAGACAGACCGTGACCACGCAGAACCAAATGCCCTTTCTCTTCCACCTTCTGTTTTTAGCCAAGGAGGTTTAATCTACTAGAAAGGCTTGGCTCCTCTCGAATGGAGGTCGGTTACTTCCCCTCCATGATGAGTCACCAGGCACGGGAAGCCCCGGGAAGCCGCTCCCCATTCTCAACTCGCTCTTCGGCCTTTCCTCTCTTCCTCCATAGTGAGACGAAAACCTGCCTCACTGGGGATCCTAAACTGTCAGGCCCCAGGCAAGTGCTTTCTCGCGCCTGAGTCCCGCAGGTGCTCAGGAGCCCGCTTCTGTCCTGGGCTGCTTCCTTGCGGTTATTCTTCGCCTGCGCTGCGTTCACGCGGCCCGCGGAGCCCTGCTCCTGAGAGCTGCGGGCCCCCCTCCGCAGGCCTTGCTCTGCACACGGCGACTGCGGCTTTGGCTGCGCCTTGTGCCATCGCGCTCTGTGACAGAGCAGAGGGTCAGAACCGGACGCCCCGGAGCCCAGCGCGACACAGGCTCGGGTGCAGGACCCACGTTGAGCCCCACCCCACGGCGAGAAGTGTCCCGGCAGCAAGCAGCCTTCTCTTACGCTGACCTTGATAGATGAGCACAAGACAGTGCAGGGCCGTGAAAATGTAATTGAAGTGAGGGGAATTCAAATTCTATTGTGACAAGAAAGCACTGTGGTCTGTCGCCATGTAGATGTGTCACACTGCACACTTGGGCTTACACTATTTTCTATCGGAGCAAAAAGCAGTAAAGGAGCAGCCAACTCCAGGCTATCTGGTCGATCCACTGCTGGAGCTGCATTTGGGGCTGTGATCTTTTCGTAGAAAATCAGTGTCTATCACCCATCCGTCCATCCATCACCCATGCATCGCCCATCCGTCAGTCTATAAGCGTGGGGGGGGGGCTGCGTGCCCCGGGAGGCCCCGCGGAGTCCACGCGGACAGCGCCCTCGGCCGGAGACTGAGCGGGTGTGGGGTCTGGATCTGGCGCCTGCGCTGCTGCTCCGGTGAAGGCAGCAGTGGATGCCCGGCCGCTCCCCGTGTGCGAGAAACGGTCCTTGCTGCCTCGGGAGCAGAGGCGTTTGTGCTCTGGTTTGTGTCATCGCAGACACGCCGGCAGCACCCCGCACCCGCGAAGAGCTGGGTCCAGTCCCGCCAGCCCCGGGACCCAGGCCGGAACGCCGCTGCCCGAGCTCCCCCAAAAGCCTGCGGCCCTGATCTGCAGTCTCGGCCCCAGCCCCGTCCAGGCCCCAGCGCGCTGAGCCCCGAAGCCCGGTCCGCAGGGAGGGCTTCGGCAGCGGCCAGGCCAGAGGCCCGCTGGCCGCGCCGGGGGCGGGGCCTGCACCTTGGGGCGGGGTCGGCACCCGGGGCGTTGCGCGGTCGAGGCCGGAGCCGCGCTTTCGGAGGCGCGCGTGGAGGCCGCCGCTTCCCGGCCTTCGACGACGGCGGATGCTGCCATCTGGTGGGCGCGCGGGGAACTTCCAGAACTGGCAGCTCGCGGTCTTCCATCCTGAAGTGTTATTATTTCTGTCTGATTTTAGATCCGCCCCCAGGGCCCCGATCTTGCTTTTGGTCTGGCTGGACTGATTCAGGTCAGGAGTAGTAAGTATGTTTCAACCTGCCAGCTCGAAACGATAGTTTCCTCCACAAATGGAAGTCCTTTTTTCTTGTCCCAGGGCCGCTCCTAGGGAGGTACTGGGTGAATCGCGGAGCTCCCTGATGCTCAGCTTTCCGCACCTGTGAAGTGGGCTCCCGCTGTGGCGTGAGGCTCCAGTGCTCAGGGGCTTCGGAAGGTGACTGGATCGCCAGCGCTGCACCCCTCAGGGGTCCCCACGGGTGAGCTCGGGGTGAACGTGCTGTGCTGTCAGGGCCCAGGTGCAGGAAGTGCACCCTCAGGAACCGTGAGCTAAAATACACCTTTTCTCCCTGAAATTGTGAGTTTCAAGTATTTGGTCCCAACAACAAAGATCTACTGAATATTTTTACCATCCTTCTGTGGACACAGTGTCATCCACGGTCCCGGGTGCTGAGCCCCAGCGGGTGAGGAAGTCAGAGCGCCCGCCACCAGGCAGCTGGCGCTCTGCAGAGGAAGAGACCACACACACTCGTGCGCACACGCACTTCCTCCTTTCCGTGTCTTCCTCCCAGGTCTTTCCTGAAACGCAGATCTAGACACGTGACTGCCTCGCTCAGAAACCCTCCCCGTCACTGACATAGCTCCTGCTGATCCATCAGAGGAACGCCTGTCCGGGTCACACTGGCCTCCGCGGTAAGCTAGTTCCCGCCTTCTGCATGAATCTCGCTGCCCTTTACCACGTGCCGGGTATGCCAAGGGCTTCGTCTGTTAATCTCCGCAACCACCTTATGAGCTATGTCCTGTTATTGTTCTATCTATGGAGAAAACAAGGCAGGGGGAAGTAAAGGAACGCTCCTGCCCTCACAGGTCACGGAGCTGGTAAACGGGAGCCGGGCCCCGCTGGGGTGGAGTCCCCGCCCTCCCCCGAGAGCCCACACTGCTGCGTTGCTCCCACCGCTGTCTCATGCCTCCACACGTGTGTCCAGCTGGTTCTCCAGGGCCTCTTGATGAAATCTCACCAGGTGCCTGGGACCCAGCTCGAATGTCTCGCCCACGCATTGCTGCGAACCTGCACGCAACACCTCTGCCCTCCTAAGCCTGGAAGGTGAGCTCGTGTGTGCCTGCCCTGCCCTGCACGATAGCAGTTACACACACACACGGTTGTTTCCCTCAACACACAGCGAGGGTCTTGTGAAGGTCTGCAGCAGGGTGAACGAAATAAAAGTTGGTGGAATGGTAGCAAAGGAAACAGCACAGGAAGCCGAGACGTGGCTGTAAAAGATCAGAGAAACACAAGCCAGCAGATGCCTTTAAAGGTCATTTTTAAGTGTAAACAGACACGGATATGAAGTATTTATTTGTGCCGAAGCATTTTCTTGTTGGTTTTAGGTCCCTTTTCATATTACCTAAGAACGCCTCTGCTTGTTCCCCGGGGGTCACTTTGTGGGGGAAATGTGAGCATGACTACTGAGAGAGTTGCAGTTACCCCGAGAGCAAACGCAAATTGGCCCCACTCTGAAAAGCTTCAAAAAGCATTCATAAAGTGGCACCAGCTGGGCGGTGGACCTGGCCTGGGGCCTTGCAGTTGGCTTTTGCTGGGCTCCTGCCTGACCAGCTGCACCTCTTGGAACTTCTCAGCACAGTGCAGGAGCCACAGAGTGGTTTATGAGGCCTCTTTCAGTCCTAGAGTTCTCAAATTTGGACCTGGGCTCTGCAGCTTCATTACTTGGAATCACTTAATTGATTTTGGAAATCAATTTCTGCGCCCATGCGTTGGAGCTGGCCTGTTATATTGGAAAATGGTGGGCACTGTAGAGAAATATTGATGTAAATTGCTCAGGCAATTTAAAATCTCATAAATGCAGAGAAGAACAAAGGAGCCAGGGTGACCCAGAGGTAAGTTCGAAAGGTGGCCAATTCTTTTATTTGGAACGTGAGTTAGTAGGTGAAGCCTGAAGTCTTCCTCTTAGGGTGATAAACTGAGATGACAAAATCTATGAACTCAACTTATGAGACTTCCAAATCCCGATGCCCAAATCTATCCAGGAGAGTAGAAGACAGGAAAAACTACTGGCATTAACTCGGTCATGGGTGCAGATATTCTATAGAGCATCTCGGCAAACCAATTCTAGCATCCTGTTAAAAGGGTAATGCATCAAAACCAAATTTGTTCCAGGAATGCAAGGCTGGCTCAAGTAGTAATCAACCTTAATTTTGAACACTAATTAATGTGATTTTCTAAATTACCAGATTAAGCAGAAAAACCATATAATTATTTTAATAGATATAGAAAAAATTTAACAAAATTAAATGTCACTTACGATTTTTAAAAATCCTCCTAAAGCTAAGAGAATTTCTTTACCATAAATTATATGCTTAGAAAACAAAACAACAATCCTGCTTATTAGTGAAAAAGTGAAACCATTTCTTTTGCATTAAATAATGATATAAAGGATATCACAATCTTAAGTCATCATTGAACTCGAGCTCTTAGTACTGTCAGACAAGAAAAATACATAAAAATTCAAGTACTGAAAAAATCTTTTTATTGGTTAAATAATTCACTGATTATTGATATGATATAGTATTTATACATATTTATAGGGTACATTATGATAATTTGAAACATGTAAGTGATATGTAATAATCAAATCAGGGTAATAAAAACACTTCCACCTCTTTGGACATTAATCATTCTTATATATTGGAAATTATAAAAGGAGAAACAAAACAACTATTATTTACAGATGCCATGATCATATATATGAAAAATCCAAAAGACTTCAGAAAAGTTATTAGACTTAATAAAAAGTTTACCAGGGGGCCAGGGATTTAGCTCAGTGGTTCTGCCACCTGCTTCGAAAGCTCAAGGTCATGAGTTCAATCTCTGGTACCACACACACACACAAAAAGTTTACCAGGATTATATGTATAATATCAGTATACAAAACTTATTGTCTTTTTATACACTAGCAACAAATATCCAGGAAATGAAATTAAAGAGATGTTTTTTTTTGTTTTCAACCTAAATATAAAGTTCATACATTTTTAAAAGATATTATTTTAAATAGCATAAGAAAGTATTGTGAAGCACTTAAAATGTTAAATAAATGGAGAATTGAATAGTAGTTTTCAGAGGACCTGAAGAGGAGAGAATGTGAAGAAGTAAGTCAAAGAGTACAAATTTGCACCTGGCGTGAATCAGTAACAGGGACTGATGTACAGAGCAAGGGGTGCTCTCCAAATTGTACTGTGTTATATGCTGAACATTTGCCCAGGGAACAGATTTCAGTTATTCTTAGCACACACGTGCACAAAGTTTAACTATGCATCATTACTGCTATTTGTTTCACTTTAGTAACCATTTCAATATGCATATGTACATCAAAACATTATTCTATATACCTCAAATATACACAAGTAAATTGATAGATACATTCAGTCACCTTCTAAAGAGGTAAAAAAGATTTCATAATTTCTTTAAGATTTCTGAATTTTGTTGTTGTCTTTCCCAGAATTTTAAAATATTTTAATTTATTTTATATGTAAGTTTCCATACAACAAAGAATAATGTAAATTTTTTAAAAAGCGTAGTATAAACATTCTAAAAATTTTAAATCTTTTCTGTTTTTGTTGAAAAAGATGAAAGAATCCCCAAGTAAATGGAGAACTGTATTAGGCTCATGGATTAGAAAATATTCTTTCCAAATTGATTTATATATTCAAAGAAATCCCAATGAGGTATTAGTGTGTGAATGTGTGTGTGGCTTGAGAAGCAGATTCTAAATGTATATGGAAGTATAAAGGGCAAAGTACAGCCTAGGAGAAAAGAGGTCTAGGAGGGCTAGCCCTACCAGACATCAAGGTATGGGGCGAAGTTATAATTAAGACTGTGTATATGGACACAGAAATTTAAAAAGTAGCACAGTGGAGCAGAATGGTGTCCAAATACACCAATACTGCCACTGAAGGTAGACAGGAGATATTGCAAATTAGTTGGGAAAGACCTGGCATTTTAATAATTGCTGCTAAAATAATCATTTATCTGGATGGAAAAAATAAAATAGGATTCTACTTTGGACCATAAGTAAAAATTGATTTCAGGTGGATTAAAGCAAATACGGAAGCAAAAGCGTAAGTCATCTATTAAAGAGCATGCTCACGCCTTTAGAGCAGGGAAGATGTCTGAAGACATTTATTAAAGCCCCGAGAAAGTGTAGAGGGTGATGCTTATGCAAATCAGAATGCAGTCCTCTGGGTTACCTCCCCAGGGTTAGGGCAGGGATGGCGAACCCTTTAAAAGAGGAGTGCCCAAACTGCAAGGCAAAACCCGCTTGTTTATTGCAAAGCGCCAACACTGCAATTAAACCTGAATTCTGAGGTTTTAGCTTAGCAAAAGCAACTCATACATTAACATGTTTTGTCTGAAAAGAGAAGCAAATAACAGGTGTGCCATGGTTCGATGCCACTGGGTTAAGACCCAGGATACATTAGAGAGAAGGATAAAGAACTGGTGACGCCAAAGCTCTGTCTTCAATTTAGGTCAGGGTTGCCTTGGGGTTTGCTTTATTATGACTTACAGTGTCGACGGCTGTTCTACGCGCTCCTCTGTGGTGTGAAGAATTTTGTATTACAGGTTTTTTTAATAATGAAGTTTCAGTGAAGCCTTTTGATTTGTGTTATGAGCAGGAAGAAAATCCTTGGTCATCCCGGAGGTAACACCAACCCCTATGGCTGCAGGAGGCTGCTCCTCAGCCAGAGCTCCCCTGGGGCCTAACTGCCCGCACAGCTCTCAGCGCGGTGGGTACAAGTTCACCGTCAGGGGACAAAAATGCGTTATTATTGCAAAAAATGGGTGTAGATGAGGTTTAGCTTACTTACTCTCTTTCCCCGTCAGTGTCGCCGGCAGCCTTTGTAGTGAATCTGCAGCGTGCACTCTGCCATTTAGCAAGTTTAGCGCCCTCCGCCCAGGGGTCATCTTCATCTCCTGTCGCTGGTCCCTATATGAGGCTAGGAGAATTGAGCTTCACTCTGGCAAGTTCCAGATTCTCACGAAAGCCACGTGTGTGGGGTAAGGGAGGAGATCCCAGCCCTAACAGGTCACTAGTCACGGTCACTTCATCCATGCAGTTTCTTTTGGCCCTGAGATCTCCCTTCGTGTCTCATTTCTATGTCTAAGTGATTCTTCTGCCTTTGGGAGCCACGCGGCCTCAATCGACAATTGAAATCTCCTTTGTTCGTTCAAGACTTTGAGATGCTCTTACTAGAGAAGCAGAAGAAAAGCCTTTGTTGAGATACTGGGTGAGGGAAAATCCGTGCAGCAATGCCCTAATTTACCCAGCCTTCCGTAAGTGATTTTATCATTCTGTTAATAGATCCAATGTGTTTCTTTGATCCAGCACCACATGAGGGAGATAATAAATATTGTGTGAAATTAAATTCATTCCAATAACAGATTTTTTCATTTCAGTTCCCCACAGGCACTGGTCATGACTAGCGCAGTCCACAGCCCCAGTTCCTGGCCCAGTGCCCAGCAACAGCCCCTGCAGGGGTCTTCTGAATGGTGTTAGATGAGGTGAGTGCCCAGCTGAGTAGCCAGGTTTGGTTTCTGATATGCTCAACCACATTTTCAGGATCTATGGATTAAGACACTTTTCTTTAGTTTCTATTCTAGGAGCTTTGGGTGGAAGAAAGCCACCACTGCACAAATGCTATAGTCATGACTAAGATTATGCTTGAGGATGTGATATTCAGATCCTAAAGACTTGAGACCCTGTTGACAACTGATACGGAAAGTGCATGAGAGTAAAAGAGAACATCACACACACGTTTCCTGTAGGGCTTTATGTAAAGAAAACTTCGGGGTAACCGGTGAGTGTGGATGGGTGTAGCAGGATAAGGCCTTGATCCCCGCTCCCCCCCGCCCCGCCCCGCCCGAGGGTTGTTGCCTTTTCTGGATTGCTGAGGAGCTCCTCAGTTTCTGAACATCCAACTTTCCATTAGAGTAAAAGCAAAGTGCATCAGTGAGGGAACTTCCGGTCAGCTGTAAGAAATGGGATTCCTTCTTTCCCTTTCCTCTTGTTTTGATTTACAGAGTGTTGTGGCTGAATCTTTTGGGACATTCACACTTGGTTCTATAAGAATTTGGGAAAAGCTGCAAGCAGCTCAGAAAATCATCAGTCATCTTTTGGATGACAGGTGCCAATCAGCTGTTCTCCTTTTTCTGGTCAATGGGCCTCCAGCCAGCTAAAGGGTCAGGCGACATGGCACAGTGAATGTAAGCATGCAGTTGCAGTCCAAGCTTGAGGGAAGTGTGTCAGAGTGCGGAAGCACTGGAAGATCTACAGTCAAATCCTGCCTCATTTAACGAGTATCTGAGTGTGTGTTGTGGACCAGGTGCTGTTATCAGCCTGGGTGAAATACAGTAGACAGACAAAAGTCCACATCTCCATGGCCTTGCCCACTCAGGGTGACTCTCCTGCTGATCCTGGGAAACAGGGTGTTTCACATCAGTCACTCTGGAATTGTGACATGTCTGCCAGTCACTGGCATCTCACAGCTGCTGCTGGCCTGCAGCCGTCCTCCAGGAGAAGTCGTTGCCTCTGGAGGTGCCAAGTGGGGCAGGGGTGGCCGCTTCATTCACCTGTGTTGTTGTTGGTTCTGTATTGTAGGGCTTAAGTTGTGGTTTAAGATGTCTCCAAAAAGATTCCATAGTAATCTGGTACTGGAAAAAGTTATTGTGGGCACAGAAAAGCATGAAAACAAGCAAAAATATCCATTTGGGGGAGGATGACCTCAATTTCATGTTTTCTTGTAAGTAACCATCAATATGTAGGCACTGGGCTGGGGATTTAGCTCAGTGGTTCCACCACCGCCTGGCTCGAAAGCGCAAGGTCCAGAGTTCAATCCCTGGTACCAAAAACAAACAAACAAAAAATATTTAGGCACCATAAAAAAGGAGAGACCCTCAAGTGGATGAACTCTCTCATGTCTTGTTACTGAGCTTGCAAAAGCATTGCCTACTGCATGCCAAGGATTTCCACAAAAGGCAAGAAAAGTCCCTCAAAATCTCCAAGAAACTTGTGAGGTATGTCCTAACATTAAGGCCAAGAGTCTCTTTTAGTAACACCCAACAGAATGGTGTGCCCGAAACCGACATCCAATATGAACAATAACATACAAAATATTAGCACAGATTGTGGAGGAACCAGGCGTGATGGGGAACACCTGTAATCCCAACACTCTGGGAAACTGAGGCACAAATTCAAGGTCAACCTGGTCAACTTAGAAAGACCCTGTCTCAAAATTAAAAAATTTTAAAAGGGCTGGGGATGTAGATCAGTCCAAAGGCAAAGGTTTTGGGTTCAGTTCCCAGTATCCCCTCCTCACACAGAAAAAGAAGGAAGAAAAGGAGGAGGAGGAGGCAGAGAAAGAGGGTGAAGAGGAGTGGAAGACGGGGAAGAGATGACGGAGTGCTGGGCGGGCAGGTGCAGTTTCCGTGGATGTAGCCTAAGAGATGCTGGCCAAGAAGGTGATGACTGAGCAAAGGCCTGGAGGAACCGGTCAGGCTTTCTTCCAGGGAGAAGTGTTCCAGAAAGAGCAGCTGAACAAAAACAAAGCAATCAGAAAGGGTTACTTAAGGGAACGCTTCAGCCGAACACAAATGATGGGGCACCTTCGTGTGGATGTAAGTTCCTTGAAAACAGCCTCTTGGTCATCTTGCTGCTGGAGATCCCTGTGTGGGGCCCATCCCAGGGAAACCTTTTAGTACTTGGGCAATAAGTGAATGAACTTTAAAAAGACAAAGAAATGCTGTATTCGGTACTGAGCAATGACACCACTAACACTTAAAGTTATATTGAAATGATGGCTGTTAATATAGTTTCTCTGGGTTTAATACATTTTGGAAGAGATGCTTTTAAAAAATACACATTATGTTTCATTAGGGCATGACAAATTAAAACAATGAGATATCACTGCACACTTATCAGAAAGGCCAAGATCCAGAACACCAGCTACACCAAATGTTGGCAGGGATGTGAACCCACGGGAACTCATGTGCTGCTGAAGGAAGGGCACAAAGTTGCAAGCACCCGGGAAGAGAGCTTGACAGCTTCTCACAGAGCCACAGGGCTCTTTCCGGATGACTCAGCATTTGTACTCGTTGGTATTTATTCAGACAACTTCAGAACTATGCACAAAACCTGCACATAGATGTTTATAGCAGTTTTAGTCCTAACTGATTAAAGTTTGGAAGCAAGATATGTTTCAGTAGATGAATAGATAAATGATGATACATCAGACGATAGAGTATTATTGGGCTTTAAAAAGAAATTGAGGTAGGATAGAAGAAATACAACATTCTGAGATAAGAATATTATAATACTAAAAGTTTACTTTTTAAGAAAAATTGCAGCTTCAAGATGCAAAAATTTTCCCCATCCTTCCAGGAAAAATTTCCAAGGGCCTTAAAGACAGTAAGCCTGTGAACTAGGCTCTGGAGCTCTGCTTTTACCAACCCCATCCTCAGGAGTGCAGTTAAGAGAACAGCAGATCTCAGCTTCAAACACAGGGATATGGTTCGCATTTTTATATATCACACCAAGTGAGTGAAAGCCTGCAGATCCTGACGTACACCTCTTAGCTAGCCCATCTTAGGAACACCTCAGGTCCCCGTAGGTACCCCCAGCTCCACGCGTGAGATGGCTGTTTCCCTCTTGAGGGTCTTTATTTTATTTCTGAGATGTATGCTTTAAATGATTCTCCCCAGAAAATCTCTTTATGCCTCTTATTGATGTGTTCTGGAATTTCTTTTTCTGTGATGGAAGTCAGCGAACCTGCCTCATGAGTCTATGATTTGGGGATCCCTGTGTCCCTGTCCAGTGACAAAATGAGCTAGCAAGCCATGGAAAGACAGAGAGAAAACTAAAATGCACATTACTCAAGCAGAAGAGGCTGATAAGAAAAGCCTACACGTGCTAGGGCTCCAACTGTGTGATGTTCCAGAAAAGGCAAATGAGGAGACAGTAAAAATGAAAGGTCGCCAGAGTTAGAGGAGAGGAAAGGATGAATAAGTGGAGCACAGAGAATTTAGGGCAGTGAGATTGTCTTGTAAGATGCTACAGTGGTGGCTCCATGTCCTTGTACGTTTGTTGGGACCCAGGCAGAAGCTGCAATACAGAGAGAACTACAGATGATACCAAGAGAGAGTCAAAGGCTGTGAACTTCCTCATGTCTGACTTGGAGAAGAGAGGTTTTAAGGACTACTCAACTATGCATATGGTAAAAATATATCGTTTAGCTAAAGGTTGTTAAAATTGTAAGTGAAATTCTAGTAGGATAGAATAGGATATAGAACTTCAAAAAGAGTATAGGAAGGAACAGAGACAATGTAATAGATGCAGTGTATATTAGGAAAGCAAAACACAGACAATATGAGCAGAAAACACAAGGGAGTTGGACATTCAAAGGCTCCAGGGCAAAGTGCACATCACCGTTAAGGTGTCTGGGCCTGGGGACCACTGGAACAGCTTGGCTTTGGGGGTTCCCTGAGGGGTGAGGGCACAGATTGGCAGGAGGGGATCCCTGAAGGGCCAGCACAAAGTCCTCTGGTGGCTTGAGCCCTCTCCACCCAGAACAGCTTCTGGCTGCTCAAGATTGACAAGTTCACTTCACTGTGAACACTGGGCCCACATGCTCTTCTGTTTGTGTGGTTGTCTGATGTGATGTGGGTAGAGACACTCACCTGACAGGGTCTGAGGAGGTCCTCAAAGCTGAGATAAGGAACCTAATTCACTCTTCTTGCAGGTTTGCTGATTCCCTTCACAGAAAAGTTTTCAGAACTAGTCAAGATGTGGCCAAGTGTTACAGCTCAGTGTCACAGGCAAGTGGTACAGCTCTGAGTCAAGGCTATCTCAATTTGAAGGCTCGAGAATCTGATGGTCGCTCGAACAGGTGGAGAGAAATCTTTATTATGCCAGTGGGCTCAGAGGAGTTTCTACTCAAAGTCTGAGCACTCTACCTGAAATGAGAGCCTCCTTATATAGGAACCTACAGGGTAGGCGAGCATGCTCACTGAAGCAGGGGGCAGAGTTACAGAACATTCTCAAAAGGGGGCAGATATTAACAGAACATTATTATAAGGGGTTGGAGCTTAACTGAACATTCTTGTGAGGGGCAGAGCTGAACAGAACATTCCTGAAAGCTTGCACAGTTCAGTCACAAAACATTTTGATCCATCGGGCAGGAATGGTGCCTAGCAGCACAAACCGTTCCATTTCTAGAACAAAACATTCTGTGGAAAAAAACCCATAGAGGCAAGACAAGAACCTGTCTTATTGTAGAGTATTGCTCTGTCAAGGAAGAGGCATGGGAAGGGTTTTATTAGGCAGAAATTAAAAGATGTCACAGCAGCAGAATAGACAGGTGCCAGCACACCAGGGCCCCTTGCCTGCAGGCATCCCAGAGAGTGGCACCACGCACTCTGCTCTGGTGCCCACCACTTGGGGACCCAGCAGGGGTAGGGATGGGTGGGTGGTTACCATGGCGATAGCCCCAGAGGGTGTATCACCTCTGCAGAACCCTCTGCCTCTGCCCCAAGTCTGCTGCCCAGTTGGGGACTTTCGGATCTCTCCATGCTAAAAGATGGAGGATATTCAAGGAAAACTCCTACTGTTGTTAAATTAAAATGGAAAAATATGAGAACCTAGGGCGGGTCGAAGAAGGGAGTGGAAGATGGTAATGAAGTACAGGAATAAAGGTAGTGGTGTAATTTTAACGGTTGTGGTGCAGAATGTAAGAGTTTGGAGAGACCAATGGGTGAAACAGGAGGATTTATTTATGTGTGGACTGGCTCAGGAACTCATGTCCAAAGGCTGAGCCCAGAACAAAGGAAGAGCTCTAGTTTTATACACTTTGCAGAGGGAGAGTTGGTCGACCTAATGGTGTGAAACTTGTGGACCAAAGCAGAACAGAAGCAGTCAGTCAAGCTGGGACAGTTTTGTAATTTAGCTTATCTTGGTGGCCTTGGTTGGGTAAAAACAGGATCTTATGAGAACAGAAGGTTGTGAAACCTTACAGGGACAAAGTTACTAACTTTATTAGTAATAGAACAAAGAACAACAACCCTAGGGAGGGGAAAGTCCAAGGGGGAATTGCTTAGGTTGGGGAAACTTGTTTCTCCTTTTTAAAGTCCTGCTTCAGTTAGGTTTTCTTTTGTCTTTTAGAGAAAAGTGGTTTCCTGAGGCACAGTTTTCCCCACTTCTCCTAAGCTCAGATAAATGCACAGAATGTGCAGATGGGGATACCAGGAGGGCTGGAGCCCAGTTTCCTTGCCACAAGAAAGCAGACAGTGAACAGAAGGTGGCTGGAAGTGATAATGCACAAGTGGAGACCTCCTTCGACTCTCTTCTGTTCACAGAGCTCTGTTTCTATAAAAGACCTTTGCCCACCTATAATTGGTAAGATGCTGGTTTGAGGCAAATGGGCCCTCCATCTCCTTGAAGCTAGCTTTGCATAGATCCTTTTTCCTTTTTACCCAAATAGATGGCCTCCTTTGGTTAGACCAGCAGTGAGCAGGCCAAGCTGAGCATATGAGCCTAGACGGCCAGTAACAGAGGGAGAATTGTGGCTGTCAAGGTGTTCTTGGAAAGTAATGATAACAAAATGGTTTTAAAATTGCTATGTGCAAACTCAAGTTACTAAAGCAACTGAGGCATGAGAATGTGGTGCATCAGTTAGAAGTGTGTAAAAAACCAAAAATAAAGATGATGGTACCTGGTCGTTGGATTTGTTGATCATGCAATACTTGGTGACTTGGAACTCTTTTCAAATGGACTAGACTACCAAGTAGCCCAAAGATACTTATTTTAGATTATTAATACAACTGGATTTTATCACAATCACAATATCACACACAGAGATATAAAGCCAGACAGCACTTTAGTATCCTGGGCTGGTGCTGACTGAGAAACTGTGTGATTCGGATCTGCACATGGAGTAGTTTAGTTATTATGAGAATGCAGAGGAGCCTGTAGGGTCCCTTGAAGGAAAGTAGCCCATGTTAGAAACTAACAAGCATCTGGGTAAGCTTAGAGATGCAAAGGTGACCACAAGAATGGTAAAAGCTACAATAAAAAGAGAGGTCAGCACCTCTCCTCCCAGGAGGAGACATGCTGAGTTTGTGGGCACCTTCTCCCTACATCTGGACCCGGACTTCAGCTGGATTTCAAGAAAACACTAGAAATGCAGGATAACTTGTTTCTTTTTGAACTCTTTTGAACTCACTTTCTTTGAAATATGCCCCAACCCGTGCTCTGCCTGTTTATATAAGGCCAAGACAAAGCAGGTTGTTATCCATCAAGAACCTTTTCTTATTTTTATTTCTAATAAACACTCTCCTAAATGCCTCCATGTGTCCTCAAGTTTATTCTTCAATTTTGGGAGACAGAGAGCTCGGGGTTATACAAAATTTACTGCTTTACATGGACACTGACAGCTCTGGGGAGGTGTATACTGATTACGTGGCCGCTGGTGACACAGGGCAGCAGAGCCACAGTGGAGATGTCAAGTATGGAGAGGCTGCTGGTGTCTGGGCCATTGGTTTCCAGAAACTGAAATGCTCAAGGGGAAGTCCTGTTTCCTGGGGACTCTGATTCCGATCAGCTCTATCATATTATGATGCATTTGGGTAATTTACTTCAAAGACACCAGGAACTGTTTCGTAAACAATTCTCTCTTCTCTGGGCTCTTGTCCTGAGGACGATGAAAACTGAAGTGGACAGCACAGCAGTGGGGGATGCAACAGGTGGGGTTTTATTAGGACAGGGAAAAGCCCCGGGCAGCTGAGGGGCGTTCCACCGGAGGACATCGCTGCGGCACCTGTATCCGGGGGCTCACATGCAGCTGCTGGCAGGACAGTTTGGTGGTTGTGCAAAAGGGGCAGTTTGGCAGGTGCCATCTGGTGCCTTTCGAACTCCAGGAGCATCGGAAGATGAAGGTATGCAATTGCCGCTGTTGCTAGGCTTCTTGTCCTCAGGAGACTTTATCAGTTCTTTGTCCTGCATGTTCCAGTTTCCTAAGGCTCACCTCAGTATTCCCAGCCCCTTGCCCTAAACTGCCTATCGTCTCTCTATCTCATCTCAGTTTAGGAAAAAAGTCCCATATTTGCTGGAGTACAATAGCCTGAAATCAAAGAAACGGAACCTTGAAAGACTGTCCTATTCTCTCTCAGGCTGTGGCAGATTTCGCAAAGAAAAGCTCACATGTTGACCCAGTCAGGGGCCTCCTATACTGAGCTCCTGCACCATGGTTTCTTCCGGATGGATGGATTTGCTGAGAGACTCTCCCAGGACCTATTGTTACAGGAAGATGCCAGGAATATTTCTTCACCTAAAAAAATCCCCAAACAGAAAAGGAAATGGAAAAAGATGAATCCTTAGGTGAAGAAAGAAAAGCACTTATGGTACAAGACACCAAAATGAAAGATTGCTGACACCAAAATGAAAGATTCCAAAATACTTCAAACAAAGGGTCAAAAATTGATGGTGAGAACACTGAAAAAGGTACTAGTGTCTCAGAGGCCAGCTGTCTTCATCACACTACGACGAGCCACGTCAGGCAGTGTGTTATGGCTCCCATCTCCCCACACTGCATGCACTCATAGGGGTGCTTTTGAGAGGTAACTGGGCTGTGGGTGTGTGCTACTGGATTAGTCCACTGGTGGGTTGACAGGTGGCTGTGATGTGGGAAGTGAAGCTGCTGGGTCACTGTGGGTGTGGCCCCTTCTTCCCTTGATGGGCCTGCTTCCTGCCTGCTCTGCCATGGACTGTTTCTCCTCTGTTTCTCCTCTGCGATGCCCCTCTGCCAGGCCACCCTGCCTTGGAGCCAGCCGACTATGGACTGAAACCTCTACAGACTGTGAGCTGACATAAACCTCTCCTTTAACTTACGGGTATCGGGTATTGTGTCTCAGGGACTTTGAGCAGCCCCAGGGACTGCAACAGTGGTGGCAGCCCCCAGGGTGCCAGGGGCCCTGGTGTGGCAATCACGCCTATCATCTGTGGTGGCTCCTGATGGTTAGGCTGGAACACGTGCTGTCCCGGGAGTCCAGAGTTACAGAATGGATGAGAAAATGAAGAAGTATTGCATTCCATTTGTTAAACCAAATAAACACTGTCCAGCAGGAATTTATAGTATTAATGTGACCACATCGGTCTCTAGTGAAAAGAACTCCTTCAGGCAGATGACAAATGAAGGGAATAAATACTCCAAGACAGATGTGCACTTGCCTGAACCAAGCTACAGTCATCTACCTGAACCGAGAGCCTGTGAAGGCTGCAACTCTAGCCTAATAAAGACAAAGAACAAAACTCTTTGCGAATCTTGAACACCTTGTCTGGTTACTATTGATCTGCACGCCCCCAGCACGGTGCTGTGCCAGTATTAGGATGTCCCTGTCAGGTGCACACCAGCACCGAGGGACACCCCAGTTCTGGACAGGATGCTGTGCCTGAGATGCCTTCTTTTGTAACAAGAGTGTTGAAACCCTGAGAGTAGAGACTCATGCCTTCAGCCTTCTGAGCTGCCTGCTTTTTCTCAGAAAAGCTTTGCAGAAGGAGGAAAAGCACCTGCTCTTCCAGCCAGACCCCACCTCCTAACAGGAAGTCATCGATTCCCCACAGTCCGCCCACCTTTCGAAAGCCCCACCTCTGAGCACAGGAGGCTTTCGGGGGACATCCAGACACAAACCCTAGCACCTCCCTGTCCTCCTCGCTTGGTTGTATTTCTCAGCGTTTATCTCTGCTTTCGTTGCATCTTGTAGGATACTTTTTGCCTTCTCCCCTCGATGGGAATAAACTCCGAGAGGACAGTGACTGCCGTCGCTCACATGGGTCTCTTCACTGCCAAGACGTCCGCTGAAGGTGCACGTCTGGTTCTCGGCACTTCTCCTCTGGGGTAGTGAAGGGGGCTGTCAAGCCAGGCCAGTGTATCCACTTTCTACAGTGCTTCCTACAGCGCCTGGTTCACAAGGTAACTTCTTTATGAATTTTAGCAGCTTTTATTGCTGGGTAAAGATATCTCGCATGTCTTTGCATAGTAATAAATTGACATTGTGGTTAACACATCAGCTCTGTGACTGAATTACAAACCCTGGAGATGTCACCATCCCGAAATCCAGACCGCCCTCAGTCTTCTCGCTCTCTTGGGTGTCCCTCTGCATGTAGCTTTATGTCTGGGAGCCCAGAGCTCCATTCTACCAGCTGGACAATCATTCAGAGATAATAAGGCAATGCAGCAGCTCCCAGTGGCTGTGTTTGGTTGGTTCTGTCCTCGGCTGACATGTTTTATTAATAACAGCAATCCTTCTTTGCCACTCCATTATTTTCCAGTGTGATTAGTGGTAAGAGTATGGATGAAGGGAGCTTTACAGCAGTAAATGATCAGTTAGGTTATGCTTTGACTACCTCCAGCTGCCTATTCAAGTAGTATTCAAGTAGTAATTGTTGCATACAGAATTTAAGTACTAGCAAGTGTTAAAGTGGCAGCTGAGCCTCTGGGACAGGGTTTGGGCAACAGCGGGGGAGCTACCTCATCAGTCTTCCCAGTGGGCAGTCTGCAGGTGCTACAGGTATTGGAAGTCCTCTGGGGAAGGGGCATCAGCCACAGAAAGGAAAAGCTTGGAAGAAGGAACAGGGAACAATAGAGGGAGAGGAGAGAAACAAAAGTTGTTTTGGTTAGGAAGGTGAAGTGGCTGTCACAGAGTCTGCTGTCTTACTAAATCAAAGAACGAAACTGTGGAAGGAAAGGAGGTTGAAGGGGAAGTGTTCATTGGGAATATAAGAAGAAAAAGCTCCTGGTAGCCAGGAGGGGCCCCAGGAATGGAGTTTGAGGAAGTGGAGGCTCTCTGTCCAGAACCCCTGTGATGGCTGCGTAGACGCCCCCCAAGTCTCCTGTGGATGAAGTGGGCCTTTCTTTTTCAGAGGTGGCTGAGTCTGGAATGTGTGATGCTGGGGTTAATGGTGTGCAGTCTGGATAGGGTAAGAGAGGTAGAAAGACGCGGTGAAGCTCCCTTGTCGCCTTTGCTACCTTGTGCTCACCATGTTGTTTCTCCTGCATGAGGCCTATTTGCCGCTCCTGTCTTAGAGGCAGCTGATTGTGGACTGAAACCTCTACAAAGCCCCTTTAACTTTGGGGGTCGGGTATTTTGCCTCAGCAAGAGAGAAAAGTAACTAAGCCAACCCCAATGGACGAGCAGAGCACAGGAAGCTGCCCAGAGTCCAGGGGCCACCTAACCCAGGTGACTTCTTGGGTTTAAAATAACCAAGTGGGACGAAGGTCTGTACACTGCTCACTCAGCACGTAGAGTTTAAAGGAGCCTGACTCTAAAAGAAAACTGGTTATTCTGTATTTCTGTTTCTCAAAACTCAGCCCTGGACATCGGGAGGGGCTGCATTCCATTTTGCCTGAGGAGCTCCTTTGGTCCAAGTCTAGTCCCACTGCCTGTTTTTACTGTAACTCCTATAAGCACAGCTGATCTCCCCAAACCACCTCAGGTGCTGTCTCCCATGGGCTGCCTACTTATAAGATAAATAACCAGACCTCGTGGGTAGAGTATTACAGTAGAGCTTTGCTCACTGACCTTAGTCCAAGGCCTTCTCTCTGGAACACTTAGTGAGGAGGTTGAGAATTTGCTCTCACTTTGCCACTGACTTCAGGAGAAGATGACATAGTGGTCAACAGAGAATAGCTGCAGTCTTTGATGCCAGTAAAATTGTCCAGAGAAGCAGCAAATCAGGGAATAGATATCGGCCTTAGAGAGACTTCCAACTGAGAAGCGAAGGCACAGATACAATAAAGACCCTGGGTGCCACTTCCGGACTTCTTTCTTTGCCCTGTGTAATCAGAGCGCTGGCACTGTTGAGAAGCCAGAGTCTTCCCTGCCCCTGGGGATTTTACACATTCATGATGGCAGCTGCCATGTTGGTGCTGTATGGGTGTAGACCAAGACTAGCTCAGGAGGATTTGTTTTGATGAAAGCTATGCTAGAGAAAAAGCCCTTCTTGCCAGAGCATTTCGTGATTCCCTCTTGACTCAGTGCCTGTTGACACCTTAGCTATTTTTCTCACCGCAGAGTTAAAGTGCCCGACACCCGTAAGGTAAAGGAGGAAAGGGTTATTTAGGCTCATGGCTGTCGAGGTTTCAGTCCATAGTGGCAGGCTCCTAGGCAGGGTGGCCTGGCAGAGGGGAATCACAGAGGAGAAACAGTCCACGGCAGGGCAGGCAGGAGGCAGCAAGCAGCAAGCCTGCCTTTCCCTTTTATCCCATCCAGGCTATAAGCCTATCTGGGAGGTGCTACCCACACCCAGGGTGGGGTTTCTGTCTTCAGCAAATCCATTCAGCCACATCAAGAACTATGCTAATTCTAATCAGTGGACTAATTTAGTACTACACACCCTTAATCCTAGCATCATGCACTCTAGGTCCAGCCAGCTCCAAAAAGCTCCACCTATGAGTACATGAGGCTCTGAGGGGAGATCTACATAGAAGCGACACTGCACCAGAAACAGATGTGACACCAGCTGTCGGGACATAACAAGGAAGAAGGCAGGAATCCTACATTGCAAGTTTTGCCTCTAGCTTGGCTTTAAATTCACCCTCTCATGCCCTTCCAGTTTATGTTCAGCGTAGTGGATAAACATACTCTACCATCAGTACCAAAAGCTTTCCGAGCTTCACTCAACATGTTGGAAACAAAGATATCATTTGAATCTTCCCCTCACTCTCTCTCCAGTAATAATATTTCAGACAAATAATAGTGACATTAATTTTAGCAAGAGGGTACATCATCAAGGGGTCCTGATTAGTGGTAAGGAAATAGGAAATTGAATAGTGTGGAAGACATGGGCTTAGGAGTCTAAAATATCCAAGACCCTCCACTCAGTAGCTATGTGAACTCTGGCTGCCTACCTAGCTCCTAGGAACCTTGATTATTTTAATCTTCTAAGTCAAGAGCCCCTCTCATAGATGTGCATGCGAAATCTCTTCGAACCAGGGCTTACACACTCTAAATGCATAGCAATTGGTTACAATTTAGAGTTCTTTCTGATTTCACTAGTTCTACTGAATAATGGGAAGAATTGCCAGCCCCAAAACGTGCTCTAGATCTTCTCCAGTCTGTAGACTCTCCCGAAATGTAGCTCAAGGACCCTTGAATGCATTGTTCACATAGTTGGCATTTAAAATTGAATGTTAGCATTTAGAAAATGAACATCTCACTGTGATACTTCCTGCCCCTCCTCTAGAGTTCTAACGAAAGGCCTCTGGATCTGTCCATGGGGACCCCAGAGGACACCATTTTGATTCCCCCCTAACTGCAGCTCCCCTTTGGCCTCAGGAAGTCCTAGCCCCCTTAGCTGGACTGTGATCCCCGGAATCACTTGGATGGAGCTTGTCGAGGCCTGCACTCCTGACCTGCTCACTCTGGAGCCTCCTGTCCCCTCTCCCCACTTCCAGGCACTGTGTTCATCTTCTAAGACCTAAGCTGAGTGCCGTCTGCCCTGGGAGTCCTTGGCCTGACCCCACTGGTCACCTCTTCCAGGGTGGTCAGGCCCTGGGCAGGGCCTCTGGGTGCGTGCATCTTGTGGTGTTGCGGCTGCTTCCTCATCTTCCTTCCCAGGCAGTGCTGAGGCTTGAGGGCCTTGCCACCCCCTGCTAATCCTGGTGGCCGTGGTGGAAGCTGTTGTACCCACGCACACCCATGTTTATGGCGGCAGTGTCGAGAGGCGGGGGGCCTGTCGAACGTGGGGCCCCGTGGGAGTCTTCGGGGCCTTGCAGGGGACAGTGGGACCTCCGCCCCTTGCTCTCTCTTTCGGTTCCCGGCCACGAGGTGAGCAGCTTTTTTCACCCGTGGTGACGTGCTGATCTGCCACAGGCCCAGAGCAACAGGCCCAGCCAGTCACGGACAGAAACTTCCAAAGCCACTCGGCAACACAGACCTTTTCCAAGCCGAACGTCTCGGGGTCTGTCAGACTGGACACTGGCTCTGTGCCTGGACAAGAGACCTCATGAGAAGGTGCTCAGGAACTCGGAGGAACGAATCAACAAGTGACAAGCAGGGCCGCCGGAGAAACGCCTGCCACTCGCTGGGCCAGTCTTCTTCCTGATTGCTGTCTCTCAGGAAACCCACATTCAGACACTGAGCAAGACTGGTGCTCTCCCGGCTCTACCTCCTGGGTCGGGGGCTTCTTCCCAGTTTTCTCTGCCTGAGCAACTCCTGCCGGTTCTGAAGCCTCACCTGGAAATGGCCAAGTTTTAAATACCATCGAGTCCCGTTGTAAGGCGCGTGCTTCCCCTGACCCTCTCCGAGCTCCGTGGATATACCGCGTCCATATTTCCCATCGCTGCAAGGTGGGGCCTACTCAAGTGCCCGTAACATGGGTTTAGTCCCTCACAATTCATTGGATATATTAAAGAAAGACAGACATGAATCAGCCTCATTATGCATGGGGATCTATTTACTACTGGTATTTTATCTGTTTTGTCATTTCTTAGACTTCTTGAAATTACTCTTGGTACCTAAGCTAGGGCCAAAGAGTAGCTGCTTAGTAAATACCTTTTGGTTACATGAGACTTTCCTTAGATCCTCTTTAATCTTGACCCTTAGAGTCTATATTTTGCCGTTCTCAAATTTCTTAGAGTTATCCCAAAGGTGAAAGAAAACTGCTCACTTTAAACATTTAAACGGAGCTTTTCTTAGAGAAACAGTTCTGTAATAATCGTAGACCAAGGAAAATTATGAGTAAGCAGCCGGGCTGAGTGGCCGGACAGCAGCTGACCGGCAGAGGGCCCTCTCGCCACGGGAGCCGGCGGCCCTGCCCGGGATCCCTGCCAGATTCAAACCAGAAGTGAGGGCTGGGGAAATGCGAGCCGCTGAGTTCCTCTCGGCGCTGCAAGTTGGGTCTTAGACATCAGGCCTCGTGGCTGAGGCGCTGGCTGGGCCACAGAAAGAGTTCTATTTCCTCTCCCAGTCC